GTAAAATTTTTAAAATGCTTATATCTCAAAAACTATTTATAGTAAAATTTATAATATATTATTTTGTAGGTAAAGAAATTCTCTAATGGGCTAACAAAGAATAATATATTGGCGCCATTATAGGCTTTTAACATCCGGTTTACCTAAATTGCTTTACCTGTATTTTTAAGCAAAATAGTGAGTTTGTTTTCGAATTTTTTTTATTGCTTTTTATTTAAACACCTTTGCTAAATATATATACAATATCAAAACCTTGGCAACGCTATTTACTTTTTCGAAATATACATTTTTACCAAAAATTGAGATGGCGCTAATGGTTGAAAAATATTATTCTTGGAAAATAAAAATATTGATACCTTTATAAGAATAAAATTTTCCAGTTCTGCCCCACTCCCCCCCCCCCCACTATCCTTAAAATGTTTTACATCTTTTAGATCTCTACTTTGCTACTATAGCGAGCGAATGACTTATTAGCTCGATAATATATAACAGCTGCAGTAAAAACGAATATTTTATTAGGCATATATTCGATTATATTTTACAAATAAATTGTTTAAAACGATCTCTCTTTCTGCGAAATAATTTAACCTGTCCGTTCAGATTAATTTTATCGTCTGTCTACCAATAACAATCTGGATTTGGAGAGTGCAAAAACATGTATTCTAGGTGTAGATCAATTAAAATTTTATTCTATATCACAGACAGGGTTGCCAGGTCAAAATTTTCAAATTGCGGGAGAAATTTGGTATTATGCGGGAGAAATATGAAAATTGCGGTAGAAATATAAAAATTGCTAAAATAATTTTTTTTGCGGGCCCGGGATTTTGAATTGACTCAATTATCCGCCTATTATTTTTTATAATTAGTTTATATCAATACAAAGTCGGTAACAATTTTTCAAAATAAAATAACATTTTGATTAATTAAAATTTATTAATTAAAAAAAACCAATGATCTTTTTTAAATATAAAAGAATGTAAACAAGATAAAATTTTATTAAAAAAAACGATTTTAATTTTACAATTAAAAATATATTTTATGCGAATATCCCACAAAACGACCGCAATCGGAAATCTACCGTGTGTGTGTATAACATTATAGGATGCGCTTAATTATCACGTATCACGTTTAAATACATAATAAGGTACTCTAAAAATAAGAAATAATACAGATGCAACTACAGTTGCGGCAATTGTAATCACTTATCTTGTAGTACAATCACAGAGATACTTATCATCACAATGTTGGTAGAATCTTTATCCCATAATATTTAACCAACTCTTATATAAATGACAACTATACTTGTAGAACAAAAATGAGCAAGGCTATCATCAATGTTTTAAGACCTAAATCCAAGAGGTCAATTCTTGACGATTTGAAAGATGGTCATACATCATCAATTCTAACAGATGCATCTAAAGAGGGAAATATTAAAATATCTCCCTTGATCCTCCGCTATTTCAACAAAATTAAGGTCATTTGAATAAAACTATTAAATTTTTTCCCCCAAATAATGAAAAATCCAAAGACAATAGCTAACCATATAATGGTAAATATAGCAGATTCGAGATTATCAATAAATTGCATGTCAGTTTTCTGATCTGATAATGCCTCAGTGAATTTGATAAAAACAGAGTGTATTTACAAAATTGAGTCAGCACAATGTTGGTTGCGATATGTTCCTATTACCCGCCATCGATAGAATTTTAAAATTTTATAAACCTTTAAAAATATATTTCTCAAATAAAGATTATAAAAGTTGTTTTAACATTTTGAAAATTTTTTTCAATAATGAATGGCATAAGGTATATTTAGGAATGATTTCACATGTAGGAAATCTACTACATGCTGTTAATGTGTAGTTGCAATCAGAAGATTAATAAAGGTTCACAAAATTATGCTGAAGATGTGTTCATCTTTACAGTTAATAATTGACAATAAATTTTATAGAGCCATTGCTAAAACTTAATTATATTTTATTTGAGATTTAAATAATAGAAATAAATGTTTACCGTCGTTATTGAGATATTTATAAAATTCCTGGCATTACATATTATATATTTGTTTAATCATTAGCTCGGCCTCTAATGTTGTTAAAGCAATCCGATTTCTCTCCTTTTTCCAGGTAGTCCTCATCAGTCTAAAAATGCGCTCGGATGAGGCATTAGAATGAGGTAAGGAGAAGACATACTCGCATATTTTTTCCAAGCATACGGATTTATCGTTATTACGAAAAAATTCTACCCATTTCTCCTCTGCTTTTAGACCATCTAACTTTAAGTATTTTGGCGAATCATAAAAAATAGAGAAAATTACAATCTCCTCAAACAAGACATAAATGTCTTTCGGTTTTAATACATTTATTAAATTATAAAAACCATGAATTGATGGTTTCTGTTTCAAGGTCATAATATTTATACATTTGTAAATAGAGTTTTTAAAATCAAATTTTGATTGTAAATATTCTGAAATTGTCTTAATAAAAATATCTGCTTCATTTAAAAATGTATTAATTAGAGTATTATTTGAACATTTTAATATAATATTTTTAGCAATAGCGCCATAAAATTTATTATCAATTTTTAACTGTAGAGATGAACAGAGCTGTAGCTTGATTTTGTGAATCTTTTTTAGAATATTTTGTGCAACTGAATATTAACTGCATGAAGTAGATTTCCTACATGTCCAAATATGCTTTTGATTTTTCAAAATTTTAGGACAGCTTTTAAAATCTCTATTTAAGAAGTATTTTTTTAAGGGTTTGTAAAATTTTAAAATTCTATATATGGCAGGTATTAATGACAACCACCTGATAGGTATATAACGCAACAACTCACACCATTCCAAGTCAGACCACTTCACCAAATCTTTTAATTCAATAACTCTTTTAGTTGATGAACTAAATTCGTTAAAACAATTCATCACAATTATTTCGACATCCACAGATAATACATTCATTGCCTTCTTGTAAGAATTATGTAGTATATGGCATATACAGCCAATTGATATTAATTCATTAATGCTGCCTCAATTCGGTAACTTTGGTTTTTGCCAAAATTTACAGAGGCATTATCAGCGCAGAAAGCTGATATGCAAATCATTGCTAACCCTGAATTAGCTATATTTACCATTATATGGTAGCTATATTGTTGAATTTTTCACTATCCGAAGAAAATTTTTTAACAGTTTTATTGAAATGTTCTTATTCTTGTTGAAATAGCGAAGGATCGAAGGAAATTTTTTAATATTTCCCTTATTAGATGCATCTGCTAGAATTGCATATGGATGCCTTTCAAATCGTCTAGAATTGACCTCTGCTCATTTTTCTGCCACAAGTAAGGTTTGCACTTATATTGGAGTCGTTAAATATCATTTGAAAAAGATTCGACCCACATTGTGATGATATAGCTCTGTGAATGTTGAACTACATAATAGATGTATACGATTTAAGCAAATGTAGTTGCATCTTTATTATTTTTGGGAATATTTTTGTATTGCAATCGATGTAGATATACTCCCCTGTACTGACTTATTTGAATGAAAGATTTATTATTGGATAAAAATAAAACAGGATCGAAAGAAATTTACAAACTAGACATGTTTTTCGAATAAATATTTAAAATTTATTTTAAAAATATAAAAAAAATCAATTAATGTCTCTCAAAATTATTATTTATATATTTAAAACGTTAAAATACTAAAAAAAAAGTTGCGGGAGAAATTAAAAAAATGCGGTAGATTTTTGCGGAAGTTTTCCAATTGCGGTAGTTTTGCGGGAGAGAGATGTCTGCGTGTAAACTAAAAAATTGCGGGTGTCTCCCGCTGATGGGGGGAGACATGACAACCCTGATTACAGATGAACGTACTAAATATTAAAATGTTGCAACCCATTTAATCTACAGAGACATGCTTATTATCGCGAGAATCTAAGAAAGATTCTACCCTGGATGACCCAAAAAAATTATCATTCAATTTAGATATGTTAATATGCTCTTCATGGCGACAAAAATTACCAAACATTCCTTATACTTCAAATGACAATGTAGATATTGATTCTCCCCTTCATATAATTAATCAAGAGGCTATTGATAACATTAATATATCCCTACAATCAAATGGTGAATCTCTCATTAAAAGAAAACGCTTATGTGAAAAGAAATATTCTAAGAAAAAAATATCTAGAGTAAAAAAAAGTTAACGACTAAAATTATACCATTATCTTCATCAAATGATGAAAAATTCGATGAAATTCTAGATACCTTAAAAATTAAAAAAATTATTTGAAAGATATTTATTATTGGGAATTTGTTACATTATTAAGTGTCTAATGGGCATATGCCCCTGCTCCTCAGTTAATTAGTATATTTAATAGAAAATCAATTATTTTTAGCAAAAAAGTGAAAATATCTGGTTATTGATAAGATAGCAACAAAATTTTAACCATAATCCGTAATTTCATAAAGCGCCATCTGTTTTTTATCAATTTTTGGAGTCGATAGCGTCGCCAAGGTTTTGATATTGTATATATATTTAGTGTCTAAATAAAAAGCAATAAAAAAAATTTAAAAACAAACTCACTATTTTGCTTAAAAATACAGGTAAAGCAATTTAGGTAAACCTGATGTTAAAAGGCTATAATGGCGCCAATATTTATTATTCTTTGTTAGCCCATTAGAGAATTTCTTTACCTACAAAATGATATATAATAATTCTTTTTACTATAAATAGTTTTTGAGATATAAAAATTTTTTTACAGATTCCAAAGTGGCTCTTTTTTGTACCTTTGAGCCCCTATTTCTCGAGAACCAGGTGTGCTCGCGAGCTAAAATAAACGGCTTTCTCACTCATTTACCTATCTATATAATTCCAGAAATTTTTAACAATTTTAAAAGGGGTCGGCCGAATCGTGATCGATTTGACGTGGAATGGCCCTTATATCCGATTAATTTATATTATTTGGCAAATTTGTAAACTTATTAATAAAACAAATTTAAATCAAGGGACGGCGTATGCTTGCTTCGAAAAATTTATCGATAAATACTTGCACAATTTCTTCTTTAAGGACAATTCGATCGTCATCAAAGAATACCTTGGTATCTTCAATAGTTTGATCGCTTTCCACGACCCACGACTCTACCTGCGCATGCTCAAAATAAATTTTGATTCAGAATTATTCGCCATTCCTTGGTTTTTGACCGTTTTCGCGCGTAAAATAATAATTTATGTCCATAATATGTACTCGTCGATTAGCTACATTAATTTTGTTTTTAAATTACATAATCATTGGGAAAAGGATCATATGCATACGGAAAATTCCTTTATTTTTTAAAAAATATATTTGGGTTCTGAGGATATTATCAATATTTTTTATAGATATTCTGCCTCTACCAAAAATATTTCACCTGTGGGACGCGATTTTATTGAAAGACGAAACGTTTCCGTTATTTATAAGCCTGGCACTTCTGAACGTGTTACGCGGCTCGTTGATGAGCTCGGGTTTCAATGAGGCTATCCTTCTATTTTCCGATTTTTCAGATATCGACATAGAAAATTGCATACAAACGGCCAATAAATATTACCGATTAACTCCGGACTCTTTTGGTTACAGGCTATACGGTTCTAAACATTTCATAAAATCCAAGAAATTTCCCCTTCCCTATGAAATCGGAATTATAAGTAAATACAGATAATTTTAGCTTAAAATATTTATATTTTTAACATGTATAATTATGGTATTATATCAAAAAGATTATAAAATGACATGCACGCAGGGTTGGGCAAAAAGCATTCATTATATTACGATTTCCACGGCCCGGCCCGGATTTTTTAAAAATATATTACATTTATTTTTAATTTTTATAGCTAATAATCGCAATTTTAAATAGTCGTTTTAAAATACTGCCCCGGCTCGGGTATTTAAAAAAAAATTTTTTTTTCTAGGCCTGGTTGGGTATATTTAAAAAAATTAAAATACGGCTCGGGCCTACACATCTCTGATTCGAATGCAAATACTTGTCAAACTTTCTAAGATATAAGATACTTGGGGAAAATTAGAAAGATAGAAGATGCTGCATTTTTTCTAAAGAAGTATCTGACATACAAGTAATGTCGTTTAAAACCTCGATTCAGGTGATTTTTTAAAAACTACTAAATCATGATTTTACCTAAACAAATATTACCTTACCCTCGAGATTTCTTCAAAATAGGGTAGAATGGTCTAGCTTTTTCTATGTGTGTTATGTTGGCCATTAAATTATTTATTACAATTAAGTTATATCAAGAACATTATATAAATAAATTTAAAAAAAATAAAATATTTACTTTTGAATGTTTAATAAAATTTGAGGAAGTCTGATTAGATCCGTTTATATATTTTTTATCATGTCCACATGGTTTACAGCAGGGTTTCGAACCGTTAAGCATAACGGTTCGGTTTGTTCCGGTTTTTAGTTTAAAATTTTATAAAGGTTTTGTTCCATTTCGGTTTTTTAAAAAAAATTCATATCGGTTCGGTTTATAATTTATAACGGTTCATTTCGGTTTTTATAAATTTGATTTAAAAAAAATTAATCATTAACCATGTATATATTAATTTTAGAGAAAAATCTTTTCAATTTATAATTCCTTATTTAATTTAACCATGATAATCTAATAGATATTTTTATTAAACTTAGTAAATATAAATTAGACAAATTAATTTTTTTTATTTCATAAATAAGATAAAAACAAACATGAGTAAATACAATGATGAATAAAATAACACATAAATATAATAAAAGGTATACTATTTATGTTTAAAAAGAGAATTAGAACGGATGACTAAAATATTTTATAATATTTCAGGATTTAATTTAGTCCCCTGCGCAGAGAGTATAAACTTAAGGCTAGAAAATGCTTTTTCTACGAATACCTGCATAACTGGAACTGCTAGCACATTTATAGCTAACTTATAAAGTTCTGGCATACTATTCTTTACATGTTCCCAATAATTCAAAAGATTTGTATCTTTTTCTAATCTCTCTATATTATCAAATGACCGAATTATATATTCTATTTCTATACATTTATTATAATTTTCTATGCCCTGAGAATTATTCTTATTAAGACTTTTATGCGACTTAAATAAATCTTCAAAATCATCATCTAAATTATCTTTCGAATACGAACACCTAGGCATAGTATTTAGAATTTCAATATTCTGATTATTTAGACTTTGTATCAAGTTCCAAGTTTTACAAAGATGTTTTCTGGCGATCTCTCTTTCTTCAAATGTTAAAAATATTATTTTAATAAATAATTTATAATGACTTAAATGCATATTAGAATTCTGAATTTAAAAAAACAATATGATTATAAATAAAAAATTATCATATCATTAAAATATTGCTGACCATTTTATTTATTGTCATTTAAATTCAATGATCCAAGTTTTTATAATGAGATAAAAAATAAACCATATAATATAAAAATGAATGTAAAAAGTACTTGATTTCTATTAGATGTTAGTTATTAATAGTAGATTTATTTAATTTTTTCTTAAATTATTAGCAAGTATTATTATAAAAGCTTATTAATAACTTATATATATAAACTTGTTAATTTAGCCAAGAATAATTATGTGTGATTTTAAGATATCTTATCTAATTAACAGATAATTAGCCTAATCTCTAATAAAATAAGTATTCAAAGAAAAAAAACAAAAAACTTGGTATTAATTGATATATAATGTTGATAATAAAAAAATATTTAATTTGAAAAGAAATCACCAATTTAAAAACTTCCCCCAAGGAAAATTAAAATTTAGATTAATAATTTAAAATTAATTATTTTTTAAAACCTTTTTGTACCGGTTTAAACCGGTTCAAAATATTTATAACGGTTTGGTTCGCTCTTTTTATATTTTCTTTATAACGGTTCGGTTAAGGTTACAGTTCAGAAAATCATAACGGTTCATTCCGGTTTAGCGGTTCAGTTCGGTTCGAACCCCTGGTTTACAGTTTAGGCGTTTAAAAATTAATTTAAAAAAAGAAATTCTAAAATTAATATTAAAAAAAAGAAATATGCGAAAAATGTAAATTAAAAAACAATGTTAGATTATATTCGACAAAATACCTAATTATAACAGTACAAGCGGTACGATACCTTAATTATATATAATATATTCCATTTAATAATCTTTTTAATCTAATAAAAATAAATTATTAAATGTAAAATCAGGGCCATAGCCGGGAATTTTCAGCTAGGGGGGCCAGCTGCTTACTTGAGGGGGCTACTATTTTTTTAAAATAAAACAAATAATTAAGCATTCATAGAATTTTTATTAAAAATTTATTAATGTAATATGAATACAAAATAATACTATAATATGAATATACTAAATAATACTATAATATAATTCGACGATTTTTATTTTTAAATAATAACATAAATGAATTAAAGGGTAAATTTTATCTTATTTTTTTTCATAAGCCATCAATACTAAATATTGCTTACGTTGATCTTTCATCGACTCTCTAGTGCTGATAGAACTCTCTTTATTGTAGAGAAAGAGGCCACACAAGAAGCCGTTGGTATTCTAATGATGATGGCTGCTGAGTAGCATTTATACAATTCTTTAAATGAGTGATGATATTTTTTTATACATAATATTTAGGATATTTTCAAAATTATGTGTTTCTTTAACTTCTGCAGCTAATAATCATTAAGCTATTTTCATTTCATGATGTAACGTTTCCATATTTAAGTTTAATAATGATTCTATTCAGGCCATAGTCATGTGTAAATCTATTTAAAAAACGACCAACACAAAGTATTCGATAATTTCATGATAATTTCTTTTAAAGAACTCCAATTGGAGTCTTTTTCACAATCAAATTGTAATTTGGTCTCGATCTTGAAAATTTATAGGCATTTTACGTACCCTTGATGATTTGTGGGGAGTAAGATTAAATTTTGCTAAAAGTTTTTCAGCAATAATTCTAATCAAATCAAAAGAATTATCGTTTCTTTTATTTTTTAATATATTGATATTGGAATCAATACAATTTTTAGCATCCACTAGATTACCTACTGATTGTAGATACTTATTTAGTGGATCTAATGTTATTATATCTCATAAATTATAATGGCTAATATAACATAATTTATATTAACGAATTGAGATAAAAGACCAGAGGTAAGCTAAGAGTTCTAGAAAAGTAAAATATTACATCACCTATAGCCTTAAAATTCTCATGCGAGATGCTTCTAAATGACCAGTCCACCTCTGATCTAAAAGTCCCTTAAGAGTATGGCCTGCATATTTACAGGATACGATAGAGTGCCTAAAAAAATATACAATGCATTGGATAAATTAAAAAAATTAGAAATGATAACAATATTATTATACCAATTTTGAACCACAAGATTCAACATGTGATTTTAGCAATGTATAAAAGGAACTTTTTAAAATTAATTTTTAGGGTTTGCACTCCTTCATTTCGGCCAGAAATAAAGTTTGTCTTATCATATGCCTGGCTTATTATATTCGTTGAATTAATATTTAACTCACTAAATTGCTTTAAAATGCAATCATTAATGTTTTTAGCAGAAAGACACTAAATTAATAATTCCTATTAAATTTTCTTGGACTTCTCCAGAAAAAATATAGCAAATAATTGTGCTCAGGTTTTCACAACCTTATGCATCTTTTGTCTCATCAGCCTTAAGACAATTAAAAGGCATATTCAAGCACCATATCTGCCATAATAGATATTACTTCGTTTTGAATCTGGGGTGATGTATTTTGGGCATTTTGGGGTATAAATTTCATAATTTTATTTAATTCAGGATCTTTTTGGATGGTGTATGAAAACATTGCTATAAATAGTCTGCAGCATCCGTAATTTTTGTTGAACCAATTCCAAGGAAAGGTAGCTCCTGTATGCTAAGAAACAGCATCAAATCAAATATTGATTTAAGATAGTAAAGATTATAATACCACTTTTATTTTTAAAAAAACTTGAATGCAGTTATAAAAATAAAACATAACAATGATGAAAATACTATTTAAAAGAATATTAAAATTATAATTGACATACTATATCAATATTCTATATAAAAATATATAATTAAAAGAGAAATTAAAAAAATAATTAAAAAAAAAATATTTAGGTATGGTCTGGGCTTAATGACCCGAGTTGGATTTACAAATTTCAATTGATATTCTTTGTCGAAGGTATAAACCTTCATTTGGATTACCTGTGATTAAACATAACCTTATTACTGTTAATTTGTTGAAAATTGTTGTTATATCAGTATTTTCTTCATAATTCTAAAATATTCACCGCTGTTTTAATTTAAATAACTGGTTATATTATAATAATAAAATTGTGATTGAATCATAATAAATAAAATAATTATCATTGAAATAAGTAGAATTTAACCGTGATTAAGCGCCTATATAATGTCATACACAAACACATATGAAAATGATAAAATATGAATGAATGATGATTTATTTTTGGTTAAAAATAAAACAGGATAGAAAGAAATTTACAAACTAGACATGTTTTTTGAATAAATATTTAAAATTTATTTTAAAATTATAAAAATAAATATTACAAATTTTTTTTTAAATTTGGGAGCCGGAAAAATTTTTGGGGGGCCAAAGATTTTTTCTGGGGGCCAGGTTTGGGGGCCAAAATTATTTATTTTTTGGGGGGGGGGCGTGGCTACGGCCCTGTATAAAATGATTACTTATTAAAAATGTTGTTGGCTCTCTTTTTCTTACATAATTTTTTGAATATTTTGTCTTTATAAAACATTACAAAAATAAAGTTGTTACCATTGGAAAAAGTAAATAAAGCAAAATGTCACTTATGGGAAAAGTAAAGAATTAAAGCAAAGTGTTACTTTTTACGTTACTCGTTACTTTACAATAGTTATTATATTTTTATCATTTTATTATTATTATTTAATGTTTTGGTTTAATATTTTTATAAAACCCAGTTGTTTTTAAAAGAAATTTTACGCCTATCTCATTTCATATTTTCAGCAATTTTTTTATTTGTCTAACTAATGGATGTCTTCAATAGAGAGTATTGCTAAGGGTAATATTAATTGTGAATTATCTTTATCATTACCTTAAAAGCCAACTAAATAAAAATAAAAATTATGGTTTCATTTTTATAAAAATAGGATATCTAGTGAGGAAATTAGGCCAAGTATATATGTACAAAAATATGAATCGAATGATTATTTATTAATATCTGTATGAATAATAAAATCATTATTCATTTCGATTAGAAAATTATATTCTTTAAAAATATTTTCAAAAGTGAAAAGTGGATTTAAATTTTGGAAGTAAAAGTTTAAAAAAATTAAAAATTCCACAAGGGAATGTTAAATACTTAAAAATAATTTCAAATATTTACGAATAATTTTAAATGTTGAATAATACCACTAACTTTTATGTTCGATTCAAATTGTGCCAACAATTCATTTTAGGTATAGTACCAAGACTCATTTCCAAGATTAGCAGAACGTTTTTAAAATGTAGATATGTATGACTCTGATGTTAACTATTAAAATTCTTCGAGAATAATATTTTGAAAATATTACACTTTTCAAACATTGTCCTTTTATAAAATATTGTACATTCTTGCCATCCTCAGCATGTATTAAACGGATGATCAATAAAAAGCGGTGCTGAGAGATAAATGTTATGGAATAAAAACTTTGAAAAGGCAGTTACTATTAAAAAAATACTAAAAAAAATTATTAAAACATTCCTAGAGTTATCATAAATTATATGCACTTATTTATATATTTGAATTTTGGGATTCGCTTAATAAATATAGATTGATAAAATAAAAATAAAACAATTTATGCAATCTATTTTCATAGTAACGGTTTCGGTACTTTTAAAAAAGTAATTTAAACTTAACGAAGTTACTTTTTTATAGAGTTACGCAAAATGTAACGACATTACTTTTTCGAATAACTACGACAGCTTCAATATAATAATATAAATGTTAAAATAGAGATCATTTATGTTATGACCATATCAAAACACAATTTTCGTTTAAATGTATCATAATTTAATTCATATTCTTAAATCAATTATACTAAATTATATTCTTTTTATTGAAAAAAAGTGTTTATATTTTAAAAAAGAAATCTAAATGTAATTATAGAAGAATACAGATTCGTCACATACAAATCGATAACCGAAGCGACCTCTAAAATTAGCTACATTCCTTTTATATTTCAGTCCGAGCTGACCAGGCTCTCGAATTATGATGCCGATAATCTCGGTTCAAAGGAGTTCAAATCGTTTCAAGCGAGAAATATTGTCGTTTTAAATATAAGTTGTATTGGCGAAAAAAAAAAGTATAATAGGCTTTAAATTTTTTAAAAATATGTAAATAAATACCGATAATCAGAGAACTACACATTTATTTGATTCTCGTTATTCAATTCTAAATTTACGAATAATAAAAAAATATTGGACTAATAATGAATTTAAATTATTTGTATGTACATTTGAATTCTTCTTTAATTTTGAAATAATTTGCAAATATAATGATTAAAATTTTTAAAATTAAGGCCACTAACGATCAATCAAATATTTTATCTCTTTTCCTGGCACTTGTAACTTGTTTTTTTAAAAATCGATTATTAACTTATTGTTTAAAATTCGAAAACTAAACCAAAACAAATATTTATAAATTGTAAAATTGTCAAAATGGATATAATATTTCGTCAGAACTTTGATTTAGCTTCTGAAATTGAAGTAAATGCATATAGTTCTTACTTTTATTATCATACATGGCCCTGACCCATGAAAAAATTAAATTTTAGGCCCCATTTAAACAAAATTTTAAATAATATCAATATCGCATTCGATGATAAAAGCACGAATAAATAATAATGAAATTAATAACCAAAATTTTATATGAGATAATCATATAATTCTCAAATTTACTAATAAAGACATTTCGCCATAAAAATTAGAACAAAAATACAAAATTAAAATGCTATTTCTCTTCCAGAAAATCTAAAGGAGACGGGTTATCTCTGAATAATTATTAAAAGAAAATTCGAATCTTAAGAAAGAATATGAAGTTTATCAGGAAGGGTTATATTTTAAAAGTTAAAGAAAATCTAAAGGAGACGGGTTATCTCTTAAAATATTATTAAAAGAAAATTCGAATCTTAAGAAAGAATATGAAGTTTCTCAGGAAGGGTTATATTTTAAAAGTTAAAAGGTCCTTATGAAAACAATTTATTTTTCTTTTCTATAAAAGACCCCCCCCCCCCTCCCCCACTCCCCACCCTTCTCTTGAATATACTTAAAAAGATTATTCAGTAAAATATCTCTTAAAATGGGCTATTCATGTAAAATACAAAATGTTATTTTATAAAGATAACAGATTTCCTAAAATTTATTCCCAGGGAGTTGGTCTTAAAATTTTTATGAATTATTAATAAAAAGCAATATATAAATAGTTGCATTAATTTAAGCAACAAAATAAGATTTGAGTGGCGCATCGATTTTTTTTCCCACTTTGTTTAGAATATAATTTTATAATATTCAAGATAATTAAGAATGCGTAATCTAGAAATGGGCTTCTTGAATCTTCCTTTTTTTCTTATAATTATGGAAAAAAATTTTTAAGGAAACGAATCCTCATTGATTATTTCCCCCCTTTTTTACAGAACTTAGAAAAAAAAGGATGTTTATTTTGTGAAAATCATAACCTATATTTGATATTGTCTTAAGTATGAATTTAAATTGATAAAGTTTGTTAGAAGGATTTATTATGCTTTTAAATTGCGACTCATCATCCGTAAATGATTACTAGTTTCATTGATAAATAAAAAATAATATTGGTATTATTATTTATAAATTCTTATTTCTATATTTAAAAAATTATATATATATATATATATATATAGATGAAAAAAAGGAAAAATCGACGATATTTATTTTTTTATATTATTTTTGAAATTATTAAGCATTATATTTTTTCTTGTCGTAAATATAAACTTGTCATTTTTGAAACATAGACTGTATACGGAAATCATAAATTTAAAAGCCATAGATTTATTCGTCTTATCGCAAATTATTGATATTTGAGAAGTTGGTTGATGTATATGTGCATCATTGGACTATGATATTATCTTATCTGCTCACGTTACAAATAACCAAAATATTTAATTTGAAGTTGATCATAAACTTTTTATAGAGTGGTGATGAAGAGTTTAAAATTTATAAAATACTGGGAAATATAATAAAATATTTTTAGGGCGTTGATTGTGTTACTTATATGGAGGTGTAGTTATATCCTGGGGAAAAGGATTAGGAGAAGCCGTAGCGTGAGAATAAAGGGGCAAACTTTGACAATTGAAGGACACAATGGAGAGGAAGGTATGATGGGTCGAGTATCATGGTAACCGATGCAGCAATTAATTAAAGGAGGGACTGAGAATGATGTTGAAGGATTAAATAGAAATGAAAAGATAAACCCGGAGAATGTAAATTGGTATAGAGGATCTGGTTATAATCGAATATTGGGGATACAGAGTGGACCAAAAGAGAATTCACAGGAAAGAAGAATAGAAGTGAGAAGGGGTTTTGATTTCGCGGAAGAGAGAATATGAATTTAAATTGTTATAATTGCGGAAGACAAGGACATATTGTTCGGGATGGCCGAGAAACTAAATATGTGGAAAATTTGGACATAAGTCCCGTATTGTCCGGGTAGACGAAAGAAATTGCGCTGTGCGGGTTGCGGAAGATTTGAACACAATAAAGAGGAATGTAATACTGGAAATTATGATACAAGAGGGGGTTTTCCATACAGAGGAATTGGTCAAAATACTACAAATGTGCGGACTATTGGGGTGAGAAAAGTGCAAGGATCATTGTACCTAATGTAAAAGAAACCGAGGAGCAAAATGTGGAGTGCTTTAGATGCTGAAAAAATGGCATATGGCGATAGAGTGTGGGAATTTGTGACTATATGATAGCGAAGAAAATACACGGGTCAAGGCGAAGAGATTAAAAGAGACGGGCTAAGTGTGTTCTCATGAAAAAATAAAAATAATTGGATGTGTAAATATGATATAAGAAGGAATAGTACATGACCCTTGTCCGAGAGTAATGATAAATTTTAATGGGAGTATGGTGGTACCAATGTTATTTGACACGGGAGCGGCTATTTCGCTGATTAGATATGATACATATCGGAGTCTTTGGCCCGATGAGATGATCGAAAATGAAGGATTGAGAATACAGCAATTTGATGGATCACAGGTATCTGTAATGTAGAGAGTTGAAATAGAAGCGATATTGGGAAAAGAGTGGAGATATTAGATTAGAGGATTATTAATCGGAGGGTTGAAGCTGTGAAGGGGTGGGACTGGATCCCGAATAGGTCCATGGTATAATTTTTGGGGAGTATTTGCATGGTGGGGCGTGTTTGTACCCCTAACTAGACAAGATGTGTATGGAGACATATCGAAGGAATACGTAGAAGCATTACCTGAAATCAAGGCAGCGTTTAGTAGGAATAGGGAGGGAAGAGAGTGAGGAAGTATCAAAGAGCTAAGGGAAGAAGCTGCGAATGAGGGGAGAGTATTCTTAGGAGATGAGAGAATAAGAGAAGTTGATTCTAAGGGGGAAATAGATGCGCATAATTTGAGGGGGAAAATATGGGGATATAATTCTAAGAGAGAAATCGGGGGAGATCGAGGGGACTCATTGGGGAGTAATCGGGGGACTTATTGGGGAGTAATCGGGGGACTTATTGGGGAGTAATCGGGGGGACTTATTGGGGAGTAATCGGGGGAACTCATTGGGGAGTATTAGGAGAAAAATGGGGGAAAATAATTCTAGGGGGTAATTATAGAGAATAATTTTAGGGGAGAAATTTAGAAGAATTCTAAGAGAAAAATCGGAGGGACTGTTAGGGGAAAAGACGGTGGGAATTCTTTAAATGAAAGGGAGTGGCCAGAGAAATGGACGAGGGAGATCGAAGAGATGGAACGAAAAGAAAAAGCGTATATTCGAGGAATTGAAATGGGGGCTGTGTGCCAAAATTTTGTGGATTTCGATAAGTACCGTTCGAGTGGTGAAAAGAAGTGGAAATATAATTGGATCAATGGATAAAGAAGAGAATGGTGTGTCCTGTAGCATATAGTGAGTGGGTAACACCGCTGGTGCCGGCGAAGAAGGCCAACGAAAAACTCCATTTGTGCTCAGATTTGTGGGTCATGCTAAACCCTTGGGTTGTGGAAGTGAAACACCCCTTACCACGAATTGAAGAGATATTGGCTAGCTTGAAAGGTGGGATATATTTTTCAAAGGTTGATTTTTCGAATGCTTATTTACGGTTACGGGTGAAGCCTGTGGTGCGGAAGTTTTTAACTATTATTACGCCGAAAGGATTGTACGCTTTTTGTAGATTACCTTTTGGACTTAACGTATCGGTCCCAATTTTTCAATGAACTATGGCAGCCGTTTTTCAAGGCCTATAAAGAGTCTTTTACTACATGGACGATGTGTTGGTAACAGGGGTGGCGCCTGAGCAGCATACACAGAGATTAGGGGAGATATTTCGAAGAATTAAGGAAAAGCGGGCGAGTGCCGAGAAGAGTATATTGGGAGTAACGGAGGTGATGTGTCTAGGGCACAAGATTAATGGGAGAGAGGTGAGACCACTAGATAAAAATATGGCAGGAATAACCAGTATGTTGAGACCGAATAATAAAGGAGGGAGGGTGGGGTGCAGGCCTTTCTAGGAATGGTAAATTATTATCACCGGGTTGTGAAAGGTTTTGCGCAGATAGTGGCGGAGAACGATTTGAATGGGAAAAGGAACAGGAAAAAGCGTTTGAAGAATTGAAATGTCGAACTGGAAGGGAACCTATTCTGGTATGCTTTAATAACTCTCTGGAGGTAGTTTTGGCCGTGGATGCTTCTAATAGAGGTATTGGTGGAGCATTATTACAATGTGTAGATGAGTTGAAAAGACCCTTATTGTTTTTCTCGCGAATATTTAGAGCGGCATAAACAAGTTATTCAATGATAGAGCAAGAAGTGTTCGCTGTCATTTTTGGACTGACAAAGTGTCGAGAATATCTAATCGGACGTAAATTTGTGGTATATAGCGACCACAAGCCGTTGGTACACTTGTTCAAAAAGGTTAATAAAGAGTTTATGCTGTCGTCAAGATTACAGAGATGGTGACGTATAGCTGAAATATCGGTGAAGAAGAGAAAATTATTTGCCCGATATTTTTTTCCCGGTGTGCAGCTGGAGAAAATTTGGACGAAGAGAGACAAAGGGTATTCGACGAGGAAACTGAGCAGACGTTTTAACGTGG